AATATATACTGGAATACAATTTATATTTTAAGTTTAAGAAAACACTTTAAGTTTTACGAAGTACTATAGTTTGTAGTGACAAGGAAGCCAAATCCTAAACCAAATGCATACGACATATGAATGGAATTACTGCCACATTTGCTTTACCGTGCAATTATAGTACCGGCCATATTCAAGTTGAATAAGTTCTTGAATTATCAACGAGAGGAAACCGAGAAATAACGAATAGTTTATGATATTTTACAATAATAAAAATAAATTATTCAAAGCATTATAGCCATGCAGTGCTTTTATATTATTCTGAGAACTATCATCTCGCTGAAGTTATAGGAATCTGTTATATTTTTAAAATTGTCTTTATTTCCTCGTTCCAAATATATAAATATATTACATATATTTCTCACGCCCAGCTTCCCTTACCCCCCTGATCTAATGGTGTATACTTCATGTAACACCAACGTAACAGAATCTATTTTGTTACCTCAACTGTATAGAACACATTCACATTACTAAAATATAGTCTTAAGAGAAATTGTATGTTTATATAGTCTTTTGACATGCAGACATGTTGTGTGTATATAGTATAGTGTCATCGGTTATATTGAAGCCGACTCGATACCCTTGAATAAAATGAAGAATAGTTGAAGATATTTTAAAATTATGAGAGTACAGACAGTGCAAACTTGTAGTCTTTACACAGACATAACGAAGTGTTTCTGTATGTACTTTAGCGAGAATTATTTGGCTGAATTCGTTAACTAGAAATGATTCAGGCTTCATAATTGTGCAGAAGGTTCTCGAGAGTTATTATGGCAATGCGGAAACACTTGTTGGCGGCAGAGCAAAGCCAAATAAACAATACTGTAGAATTTCCCGCTGTTTGACCAATGGCGAAGGCACGAACCTCCCAAGGAGCATGAATGTGAAACGACATAAAAACGAGTGAACAAAGTTATGCTGTTGTTCGTTCTTTTAACTAGATAATAGAACAATTATTGAATTCGACGAACTTCGGCTTAACAATTCTTCAAATTTATCATGTTCAACCTAAAAATAGCCCGCATCATGACATGAGGTCAGAAAACTATGTCAAATAACAATATTAAAGATGATGACATTCTTATGGTAATATACCACGCAATCTTTGTAGTTTGATTTCAATCATTTTGCCAAAACATCAGTATCCGTTCTGACAATTTTTTAACTTGCATCGGCAACTGAAAGACAAATTTACGACAGTTAATCAGTTGATGGTAACTAAGTTGATTGAATCATGTGCTGTACATGTGATTGTCATCGAATTTCATCGTAAATAAAGACAAAATCTCACCGAGCCAACAGACGATATATAATTACATGATAATTAACTTTTGGTATTTATAACTGCATGTCTGACATACCATGATTTAGCCTATATATTATATTCAAAAATTCGGAATGTAAACATCATGTGACTATCATCTGACTATCTTGCGAATGTCTTGCTGGTTACGAGATTGTCTTTGGCTTTATTATCAAAATCTCTGGTCCTCATCGTTCGATTTCACTTGTGTTTATAGTAGATACGCCGTTTTGATACAATGTTGGAAGCAATCGCAGGTGTTTTAAAGATTGCCCTTGGTTTGGCAACGAACAAACTTCGTACTTATGGCGCTGAGAAACTTCAAGATGGGGGTCTCACCGACCAGAAATTTAGAGGCTGGATTGTTCGTGAATTAGACGACGTCAAGTTTAAACTCGATGTTTTGTCTCGCATGCATCTTTCTGCAAGCATTAGCTTTTTCAAACAAGGAGTTGAACGTCTGCTAATGTGTTTTGGCGACTCATTTGACGGCGGAAACGAATCACAGTCGAGCGAATTACTGAAAGGCGGACAAAGTTCAGCCGAGTCAAAGTCGCTGACTAGTGTGGGAGACGCGGTTGCGCTTGTCAATGTATTTAGGAAACTTAAGATCGAATCGAAGGAACGCTTTGAGTCTGCGAAAGGATTATTTGTCAAGTCTGCAGAAGAAGCGACATTATCGTTTCACAATGATGCATTGAAGACGAACGAAAGAATTCATGCAGCGGAAGTGCGCATTGCTAGCGCAATACTCGGAAATTTGGACGATCTGGAAATCGCTGTAAGTGACTGCTTACATTTTGTTAATGAATTACATAACATGACAGCCATTAAAGAAATATTTACAGTCCATATCAAAGGAGGGGTAAAGGCTCTTTTTAAGAAAGATTCCCGAGCAGAAATCGTGGAAACTGTAACAAGGATTAATTTGATCTTGTCTGATTTTATCACGAAGTTTACAAAGGGAAAAATTGGATTTTTTGATTGGCCAATGATAAAATATGGGAACGATTTTTTCCATCCGATTTGTAAAGACGAGATTCTCGACAAAATAAAGAGTACCTTGGTAAATTTGTGCCATATTTCCCATATATCAATAACTTCCGAAATTTCACTCAGTACCGAATGTCGGCCGTGGGACCGGCGCCTGGCTATAGACAGCAAAGGTGAAATATATTGTGTTGATACTGAAAATAAAGATAATATGGTAAAGTTAGACAGAGCAGCAGGCAAATGGAAACCGTTTAATATTTCTCCATCAAATGATGAAGTTAGGAGATGTGTTGCTTTAACCATCGACGATGATGATACGATGTACGTTCTAAGTTCATCAGGTACATTATCAGCGTACAGTCCAAATGGAAAGATTGTTCATCAGCGCCATTTAGATGGTCTTCGTGACGGCTTTAGATGGTTTAGATTACACATGACTGTGACGAAAGACAAGAAGATTATCATTTTCTCCTATGGCGATCGGCAAAACACCGCCACAGTATGTATTTGGGATTCGTGGGACGGAAAACTAGCCAGAAGTTTTCCCATAAGTCACGACGATGAAATTGATTACTTTTTTCCTTTTGACGATGAGGTAACTGTCGCAACTGTAGGTAAAAGATGCCGTTCTTGCCAGCTTTGTACATATTCCCAAGAAGGAGAGTTCAAAAGAACAGTTGAATTGTCCCCTAGTTACTACCGTGAATCCACCCCTAGCTCTATAACGTTTGACCATGTTACAAATAACTATGTTGTTTTCAGTTCTGATGATTCTTTGAAGCCATATGTGGAATGTTTTTCAAAAACTGGTAAACGTCTTGATATTTTTTCCATTAGTTCGAGAATGGGACCATGGATTGGTCCATATTTTTCTCTTAGTCATAGTAATAGGGCAATTGCTGTGGTGGATAAATGCCGCCGCCATGTATTTTACCTACGCTTACCAAAGATGTAATCAAACCAAAATACACCTTCGACAATGATATCATCTTATAGACTACGTTAAATAAACCAAAACTCACCGAACAAGCTGTAATTACGATAAATTCGTGCAACTAAATGGATCAGTCGGAATTGAACCGTGTCAAGGTGGTTGATGTATTAGAACATTGCAATGAATCGTGTGTAATAAAGAACGAAACAGTTTTAGGAGTTGTGCATGATTTTATTTGATTTATCGCCAACTTTACAGAAGAAGCCGATAAATAAGCGTTCCTAGAGGGGTCGATAACATCATATGAACATGAACCGACCATATAGTAACTAAATTTTATGATTATATGGGATATCGCTCGGGAAAATGAGAATTAAGAACTATCGCCGTTTATTATTAAAGGAATACTAAATGGTTTTCCGTGCAGTATCACGCAATCCTGCGCGGAAAACCATTTAGTATTTTCTTTATAAAATAACTACAATGAAACGACGGTCAAATTCAGTCCCGCGCAAAGTGGCATTGTAAATTTTCCGTGCAGAATTGTCTCATACCGCACGCCTACGAACCAATCAAATTGCGTGTTTCACTGTAGTTATTATATAGTCTATTTTTCTGTTTGTATTGGGCCTATAGAAAGGACCTACTTCAACCCGCTGGGTAAGACGAACCCTGATAATTTAGTAGCATTATGCATATGATTTACGTTTATGATTACTGAGATAATAGCAGCTTGAACATGACTGTTTTTAAGAGGTATGCGTGAAAAGTTTGTTACCATGCAACACTACAGAAGAAGATAATTAAATAGTTAAAATATATACTGGAATACAATTTATTGCGTTCGACGAAGGAGAACGCTTCCTAATCGTGACGTCACGGCTGAATGCTATGTCGTTTTGAGATTTTTGTGTGGCATTTGCCTCGCTTTCGTGTTTTTGCGTTTGCTTCGCCTGCCGAATTTCTTGTCGCGTCCTAATTTCGCGTGCTTTCCGTATTTTGTTAGCGAACTTAAGCAAGCAACGTTTTCACGACGACGGCGACGCCATTTCTCGGTTTAGACTGGGACGAGCATAATTATGCACGTCTTCCCGCCGTCGCGGTCTTGTCCAAGACCTGAAAATTTGATTTTGACGTTGTGGCTAAAACGTGAGTAAATATAATCGTTTTAACTTACTTATGAGTACAATTTTAAAATAATTGTTATTTCTCTGATCGTTTAGAAACGCATTAAAACTAACATGATGGTTTTATAGGTTTTATAGTACCAGATGGCAACCGCAAGTGCTGCTTCGAAGTCCATTTGTACAACAACAAAGTAAGTTCAAGCTTCATTGAAATTTTAAGGTAGCATTGCGGATAGTCATTGGAATAACTTTTTCTATCATACACGGTCATTCATAATTTTGGTTTATCAAGCGAAACAAAAAATCAGTGTTTTCTTTTTGCAATTTGCACTGCACTTTTTATACAGGTAAATTTTTTACTACAAAGTAGTTTAATAAATCGCAAAAAATGTGACATAAATTTGCTTTTTAGAGTCAAAATGGTTGATATACTTTGCCTATAAGATAGTAATAGGAAAACATATGCACTTATTTAAATGGAGACCTAAATTTACCGTTAACAGACCCATGAAATGGACTGAATCACATGATATACTTTTGGCAAGAGAGGTTTTAGTATCAAGTATATATGAGATCAGAAATGGCAGTGTAGAGAGAGGAAAAGAGTGGGACAAAATAGTTGAAAACCTCAACGCATTGGAAAGTCCAAAATTCTATGTATCCAAGCGGGCAATACGGGATCGGCTTAATTTACTTATCAAAGGATACAGAGCAAAAGTCAGAGAAGAAGGTCAGTCCAGTGGAATAAGCCCAGATGAAGATGAAATTGACTCATTACTAGAGGAAATTTGTGATAAAGAAGAAGAATGGATGCTTAATCCTCCTATTACATCCAAGGTAAAGAAAGCAGAAAATGACAGAGCCACAGCTAATGAAATAAGACTTCAAGCCTTGGAAACTGTAGGAGAGACTACTAAAAGAAAGGAGAAAAATGAAAGGGAGCATACAACAAAGAGAAGAAAGAGTACTGGTGAGGCTATTGAATATTTAAAAGAAAAAGCTAAAGCTGACCTGTCTCTGAAAGAAAGGGAGTTTGAGCTTAGAGAAAAAGAGCAGTCAAATAGTGCTTTGTTATTGCAAAACCAAAGCCAAATGCAACAGGACATGCTGATTTTTATGCAGCAACAACATCAAGAACAGAAGAGACAACAGCAACTTCAGCAACAACAGCATGCACAAACCATGCAACAAATGTTCCAACAACAACAAATGCAAAGTCAGGCTTTGATGGCTCTCTTAGAAAAATTTGCTAACAAATAGGACACAAGGCATGTACACTTCTGTAAGTTGTGTTATTATTTACATAGCTTTTTTAACTGTTAAATTTAGAATATAAAAGCTCTTCTATTTTATTTTCTGGACAATATGGACAATGACAATGTTAAAAAAATTGGAAAATACAAAAATATTAACACTTTTAAATTGATGTTTGCAGTTCAAATGTAATAAATACAAGTTTGTTAAACTCTTCTGTTTATGGTTCTTAATTCACAGCAAAGTATTCCTCCAGAGTAGGTGGTTCCAAGCCAAAGTACTCAGCTGTTTGGTTGCCATACATGCAGGTCAATGCATTTCGAAGAAGGGAACAAACAACATACATCTTACCAACGCTACTCAAACCAATTTTTAGATTTTTTTTAAAATCTAGGAATTTAAAATAATTTATTATGTCACCGAACAACCATTCGACAGATACTCTTGTGGCGCTCATGTTGGTGTTGAACATCTGCATTTGGTTGGTTAGATTTCCTTGTCGAAATGGTGCCTGTAGGTGCACCCTTAAGGGATATGCTGGATCCCCATACAAGCACATTGGATCTCCCCTTGTTGAGAAAGCTTCTGCCTCTAAGGTCTGCAGCAGTCCTGACTCAGCCAACATACCAGCATCGTGTCTTTTCCCCTCTAGGTAAGTTAGTGTTGACAAAAAATGAATATGATAACAGTTATAAAATTTATGATTTCTCTCCTAGCAACATTAGATACAGTCCCATCCATTTTTAAATTACCCTCTTTAAAAAGGCTGAAAATAACTTTAAAACTCCAGTACGTTTATTATACTCCACTCTTCAACAAGGGTATTCATACTAACCTACAGGTCCATAAAGGTTTGCAATCATACCATTTGGAACAACAACAGACTGAAATTTCAGGGAATGTACTTTCTTGTGCCCATTATAAACCAGCCTCTGGTTTTGTCTAGGCCTGCAGATCGGACGGACTGTTCCATCAATGAACCCGAAACAGTTTTGTAACGGGGCACCTTTTTGATGAATGGATGTTGCATAAACTTCTAAGAGGTCAGGGCTCAGAAGGCCGTTGTTCCATTCAGTTATGCGGTGGTGATGAGTTTCGTAGATGTAGTTTAACACATGATTTGTAATCATGCATATTTCGGGAACAGGTCTTCCGAATAAGGTTATCATATCCCCGAACCTGCAAGGATAGGCGAATCGCTTCATCAGCATACACAAGCCCTCCATACCATCAGCAACACTTCGCTGGTACATCTTAAACGAGGGAGGAATCTGCAGAGCATTAGCTAATGAATGTAAATCTTTTTTTTCCACACGAAAATTAGCCTTGCTTTCAGCCTCCAACAACTCGTCGAAATCGAACTTGGGGGTGTCTTCGTAGGTGAAATCTGGATTTTTCGAGTGAAAATAATCGTACAGTAACACAAATTCATCGTTTGAGATAATTTCATCAGCATAAGAGTATGCTATAATTTCACGAACTTCCCTAAATGACATTTTGTTCACGTCCCCGTTTGTTTTTGCTTAATGATTTGTTTTTCGCGCTAAAACGTCGTCCTCGGGCCAGTCTTTCGCGGTTAAATGGCGTCGCCGTCGTCGTGAAAACGTTGCTTGCTTAAGTTCGCTGTTATTGTTTAGGAGTTAGGACCGGGCAATTTGGCTTTTGTATTCGCCTGTTTCATTAAGAAGTTGTAGGAATTGTAAAGATTATTTTGATTTTGAAGTGTTTGAAATATCAGTGAAGATTCTTATCAAAGCAATCAGGAATCTATCTTGCAGTGTTTTAACGATGAGAAATCCGATCACCGAACGCACTCGCTAATCTTTGATTACTTCTAGTATAAGTTTTACGAAGTACTATAGTTTGTAGTGACAAGGAAGCCAATAATCCTAAACCAAATGCATACATATTCAAGTTGAATAAGTTCTTGAATTATCAACGAGAGGAAACTGAGAAATAACGAATAGTTTATTCTATTTTACAATAATAAAAATAAATTATGCAAAGCATTGAAGCCATGCAGTGCTGTTATATTATTCTGAGAACTATCATCTCGTTGAAGTTATAGGAATCTGTTATATCTTTAAAATTGTCTTTATTTCCAAATATATAAATATATTACATATATTTCTCACGCCCAGCTTCTCTTATCCCCCTGATCTAATGTTCTATACTTCCTGTAACACCAACATAACAGAATCTATTTCGTTACCTCAACTGTATACAACACATTCACATTACTAGTTGTGAAAAATAAGTATATTCTAATAGCGAAAAAAAACATTTAAAATGCTGGAAATTTTGCAGGAAAAATCAGATTATTGGCAGGAAATTTTAAAAAGAGATCGAGAAGTTTTGTAATTTCATTGTGGAAACACTGCCTATACATAATTGCTGCCAAGCGTAGCGAGGCAGCACACTATTCTTGACACGGCAGAGATTTCTGCAGAGTTCATTCGACCCAGTCTTCCGCACCGAACTATGTATCGTCGAAATCTCGATTCGTGTCCGTTTGTCCGATGGATGTCTGCATTTTCCGGGCCAAAGTTCGATCATCAAGTCACTTTTAAAATTGGGGGAGTGGAGAAAATATTAGAGCCATCGGTACTGGACAAATGGGATATGCGGGGATATATTTTTTTTCTGCTTTCATACAGATACATATACATGAAGGCGATGCATGAACGTTCATTGTTCAATCTTAGAGGAGTCCTTTCATGTGTTAATCGGCTACATGATTTTCAAAGCAATGTTCTTATCTCAATCTAGAGCGGTGCTTTCATTAGTTTATCGGCTATAGCTTATATGGTTCTTATATGTCAAATATTGAATATATTACAGCTCATATACCCAAGCGAATGGATATTGTTAATCACGTAATTGTATACGCAGTAACGCAGGATCGGAACAGAAGATAGACATTTTTAGAACAAGGATATATTTCTTCCCGTACTTAGACAGATACATATACATCAAGGCGATGAATTTATATTGTCAATCTAGCGCGGTGCTTTTATTAATTAATCGCCTATATCAGTATATGGTTCTTATGTATTGAATATTGGATACGCAAAATGTTGATCTCGTTAGTCTATTATTGTTCAGCTCATCTGACTTTTACGGTAAACAAATAAAGTATGGACTGTGGGCATTCAATACTACATTGTGTCCCAAAAGACGCAAACAATAGCCTTGACGATTGTTAGAATTTGAATACCCAAGACAAACTAGGAGCAGTGGCATGTTGAATTTTCACAGGTTACGTGCAGTGCAATTACATTTCAGTTCAAGAAATACCATTGCACGTAATGAATTCATATCAGCAATAATCTAACACGTTCCCAATGGATGGAAAATAGCACAATATTCAATACGAATTTTTTAACTTATTTTTAATTGCATGTATCCTGTCAAAATTTTACTCGCTATTGCGTCGAGCTTTTTCTTGGGTATTCGAATTCTAAGCCTATTATTGTTTGCGTTTTTTTGAGACACCGCGCAAAACGCAACCGCAACACTTGATCTTGGGGAACTGTCAACTAGCTCCATTAGCGACAAGCTTAATAAGATAAAATCATTATCAGGAAATGAGATCACAACAGTTTAGTTAAAATACATTTCAAAATATCGATCTCTTTCTTGATTTTATGTTTATTATGTTGTTGTAAATAATTTTATAATATAAGAAATTTTCGTGGAAACTAGAAAAAGACCACGGTTATTATTGTGTTTTATACACAAATTACCTATATTGACATACGCTGTCGCCATGCCATGACTCATCGAAATATTAAATATCTAATTTGTCAATTGTACGTCACTACATTTAACAATGAAGTATACCCAGATTCCCAAACCCATGAGAACTCAGGTTACTTTGCAATTTTACATGACGTTTTTGCGTCTTTCAGGGATCAATACATAAGAATAATCTCACTTCACTGTGAATCTAGTCCTGGCTAACCAAGATCATATAAACAACCAATTCAGAAAATTCCGCTTGCTGCCTTTAATCCTGGCCCTGACCGGGGATGTTGAGGCAGCAATTTCCTTGCGATAGTAACTCCTAGTAATATTCATTAATATCTAGGTTAACCCTAGTCCCCACTGCTTACTTACCAATTTGGAAGGTTAGGTGCAAGCTGTAGTCCGAGGTGGCCCGGGAACGAAGCAAGGTCGCAGGTGGCCTGGGAACTAGCACTGGTACTTGGATTAGGGAAAGATCCATGCCAATGGTATCTTGAACTGCCAACCACACTCGGATAGCTTGCACCCATCACACCAATGTAATTGGTGGTAACTAATGCTGCTTACCTTTCTTGAACAGGGTGGGACGGCGGGTTTTTAAACTTTTTGTTAAGCTTGTTACACTTTGCGTGCCGAGCAACTAATGACCGCAACGCGAGCGAGCACGCAATATAACACGTGGGCTGACGCAGCGCACCTCGACAGGAACACCTAACTTCCGGATCACGCGTGGTTTCCTCGCTATTAACTTTGGTTATTGAATAACCTCATTTAATATCTAGGTTAACCCTAGTCCCCACTGCTTACTTACCAATTTGGAAGGTTAGGTGCAAGCTGTAGTCCGAGGTGGCCCGGGAACGAAGCAAGGTCGCAGGTGGCCTGGGAACTAGCACTGGTACTTGGATTAGGGAAAGATCCATGCCAATGGTATCTTGAACTGCCAACCAAGAGATGCTGCAAGCATCACCCATCCAAGTACCTCGCAAGCGAAGCGCGAGCTATGGACGCCGGCCAGAGGAAGGCCCAAATAGATTGACCAAAATAACGCGCTGTTGTTGGATACAAACGACAAACCGTACTATCTGCGGAAACGCAAGAGAGATTATCTAAAATAATGCGCTGTCGGTGGATACAAACGACACACAGGACTATCTGCGGGAACGCAAGATAGATTTGCCAAAATAATGCGCTGTCGTTGGATACAAACGACACACTGTGCTATCTGCGGAAACGCAAGATAGGTTTGCGAAAATGATGCGCTGTCGTTGGATACAAACGACAAACTGTGCTATCTGCGGAAACGCAAGATAGGTTTGCGAAAATGATGCGCTGTCGTTGGATACAAACGACAAACTGTGCTATCTGCGGAAACGCAAGATAGGTTTGCGAAAATGATGCGCTGTCGTTGGGTACAAACGACACACCGTACTATCTGCGAAAACGCAAGATAGGTTTGCTAAAATAATGCGCTGTCGTTGGATACAAAC